GTCCAGCCTTTTACGTCACGCACGTCGCACTGCGCCCCGGCCCTCAGCAGCAGGCTGACGATCCCCACGTGACCCTGGACGGCAGCTAGGTGCAGAGGTGTCCAGTCGTGCTCTTCGCGAAGGCCGTGCTTTGCGTCAGCGGCTAGCAAAAGCCTGACTATGTCCAAGAAACCACGAGCCGCAGCAAAGTGCAGAGGAGTCCAGAAGAACTTGTCGGGCACGTCGCATTCCGCCCCAGCCCCCAGCAGCAGGCTGACTACGTCCACGTGGTCCTGAAGGATGGCGAGGTGTAGCGGAGTCAGGCCGATTTTACTATGATTTTCGCTCTGCGGCCCCGCCTTCAGCAACAGTCTGGCTATGTCTACGAAACCACGAGCTGCGGCGAAGTGGAGTGGAGTCCAGCCTCTAATATCAGGCACGTCGCACTGCGCCCCGGCCTCCAGCAGCAGGCTGACTACGCCGATAAGACCGTTGTCTACAGCGATGTGCAGTGGAGTCCTGTTGTTGTCTGTCTGCACGTCGTGACGTGCCCCAGCCTCCAAGAGCAGGCGGACCGTGTCCACGTGTCCCTTGAGGGTGCTGACGTGCAGAGGAGTCAGGCCGTTTTCCTCCTGCGCGTCGCACTGCGCCCCAGCCCGCAGCAGGATCCTGACCACGTCAGCGAAACCACGAGCCGCGGCGAGGTGCAGCGGGGTCCAGCCGATGACGTCGAGGACGTCCCACTGCGCTCCGGCCTGCAGCAGCAGGCGGGTCGTGTCCACGTGACCCTGCTCGACGGCGAGGTGCAGGGGGGTCCAGCCGTGCTGCCCGTGCGCGTCGACCCGCGCGCCCCACTTGATCAGCACGCGGACCGTGTTCAGGAAGCCGTGGAGGGCACTGACGTGCAGAGGCGTCCAGCCGACTTCATCGAGCACATCCTGCCGTGCCCCGGCCACGAGCAGCAGGTGGGCTATTTCCCAGCGGCCGCGCGCCGCGGCGAGGTGCAGCGCCGTCAGGCCGTGCTTCTCCCGCAGGTCGAGCTGCGCCCCGGCCTTGACCAGCAGGCGGGCCACGTCCTCGTGACCGCGGGCCGCGGCGTCGTGGAGTGGGGTCCGGTCGTGCTCCCCGCGCGCGTCGAGCTGCGCGCCGGCGTCCAGCAGCAGGCGGACGATGTTCTCGTGGCCCTTCAGGGCGGCGAGGTGCAGCGGGGCCCTGCCGTGCTGCCCGCGCAGCTCGCGCTGCGCCCCGGCCTCGAGCAGCATGCGGACGACGCCCGCCTGCCCCTTGTAGGCCGCGACGTGCAGCGGGGTGAAGCCGATCTTGTCCGCCACGTCGCGCTGCGCGCCGGCCTCGAGCAGCAGCTGGGCCGCGCCGAGGCGGCCGCGCGCCGCGGCGAGGTGCAGCGCGGTGAAGCCGTGCGTGTCCTGGACGTCGAGCCGCGCCCCGGCCGCGAGCAGCAGGCCGACGATCTCCACGTCGCCCTTGAGGGCGGCGAGGTGCAGGGGCGTCTTGCCGGCGATGTTCATTTCGTTGACGTCGCCCTTCTTGGCGGCGAGGCGCGCCCGCACCTCGTCCGCGCCTCCCCGATACACGGCGCTGTACAGCGGCACCAGTGATTTGCGCATGGCTTCTCTGAAACAACAACAACAACAAGCACAGCGATGAATGAATGCAGTTGTGCGTGGGTAAATCTTGGAAGTTATGTGCGAGTCAGCCTAGCTTCGGTCGAGCAGCACGCCAGCAAAGATTGGCTCCGCGGCCGCGCTTCTACAAACTTGAGCTCTGGACACCGGCGGAAAATGGAAAATACGCAGCACTATGAAATGGGCAAGCGGGCGCGGGAATTGTATACCTAGAAGAGTGTAGAAGTAGCATCGGACTAGGCGATGCTGTGGCCCCGAGTAATCGGCCAGACAGTACAGTCGGTAATCTGCGAGATGCGTATCAGGCGTGAAGCATCTCGAGACGCGACGCCCTCGTTGTCTGAGGTGAGGTCAGGCGCGGGCACCGCACCTGGGCCGACCTGGGCCGACGCCGGGTCCGGCGGGGCGAGAGCTAGGAACCTTTATGTACGCCCCGACGCCAGGTACTTCCGGCGCCTGCATCGCGTGCCCCCCCTTCATCGTTGCCTACCCCTCCGACTGGACTCTGCGCCATGGCTCGGTTGTCCGAGTATTTTGAGTTGCAATGGTCAGTGTTGTATTGAATAAACCATTGTGAATCCTGTTCGCACCTCTATTTATATGGTACACATGTGAGCCCGATCCCGATACAATACAAGAGTGACTCTCCGCTGCTGCTATCCCCGTGGGATTGCAGTCTTGGCGTTTAATTGTAATTTTCCAACCAAACGATTGTAAATGCATGACATCAACGACGTCAAATAAACGACAATAAATATTGTGAATGTCATTACAAGCCTCCTTTCTACAAGTTTGGCGATTTTTTTAAAAAAATGATCGTAAAAGTGTGCAAATTACCAACAGTAAAACATACACGGGCTGTCATCCTAATTAAGTAAGGTTACTTTCTCTTAGACTGATCAGACTATCATTGGTAATGGAGGCTTAGGCGAGGCTTCGATAAATGATGGTCATAATTTTTCTTAGAACTTTACTTACTCAGAAGGAGAGGAGGGTACATCGTACTCGCTGGCCCAGCTCAGACTGAGGAGCTCGGGGACAGCGGTTGTATATGTAAGCTCGCAATGCAGGCGCGGCGTGCCATGCGGCCCCGCCGCGAGGGTGCACAGTGCGTTCTAAGTATACCGCCGCCGTGCATGTCTCGTCTGCATCCGCAAGGCCTGGCTAAACCAGCTGGACCAAACGGTTGACTAAGGACTAGTAAGGCGAAGGGATCTCAGGATCACAGGGCGTCCAAATCATGTTCACAACAGGAAGAGCGAGGGATGCATTAAATTTCGCTGCTGAAACTGACCTAAGTTAAGACGAGACGCTGCGTACGGACGGCGCCTCTCCTAGCATACACCTGCCCAGACGGCTATAATTGTCCCCCCCCCCCCCCCGTAGCGTCAAGGCCTAGCCGCCCAGCTATGGTCCGCTCGCTGGAGGAAGTGCTGTCGAGATGACAGGAGGCACGCAGGCGCAGGCTAGCCGCCACTACTGGTCTAACACATTGTGTGTTGCATGACAACTATGTGGCCACGCTCCCGTGTTAAATAAATTAAAATCGATAGAAAATGACTATTTGACTCACCAGCGCCAAACTCCCAAACTCCCTGTTCAAGTCTTACAGGGATGCTCCAAAACTATCCCTGTAAGAATTACAGGGAAGCTCCAAGAAGACTCCCTGTAATTCTTACAGGGAAGCTCCGCGCACCAACCAAACAACTTCGCGTGGCGCGAACTCGCGGCGGACTGGCTGGCAAGGCGAACTGGACGCAGACGCCTGCCCCCCCCCCCCCTTCCCTCTGCTCCCCCTCCTCCAACTTTGGTCCAGGAGTCAAGCGTGGTCTAGGCTAGCAAAGGAGACTAAGGTAGGTGTAAATTCCCGATTTTTGTGAAACAACTCGTTGTTTGCTTCTTAACCATGTAGACGACGCCAAATTATGTGTTTAGTACTTCAGGGGGGCGTTGGGAAAAGTTTAGAAGTTGGGCAGAAACCGATGGGAGGCGCTCTAAAATCAAAAAATGGAATGTGAAGCTCAGCACGAATTTGACCGGCATTCGTCACCTACGAAGGTACGAATCAAAAATACCGAGTTTGAGTGAAATCGGAAATTTAGACCTACCGAAGTCTCTTCCGAAAACGAGTCTTTAAAAACTTTATAATTATTTTCCGAATTGAGGCTGCCACCAGTGGCCACCAGACAGTATTGACAGATCGATGCTGGGGTGAATAACCTGATCCGTCTCCTCCCTCCCTGGAGAGAGTCGACTCTTGCGCCGCCCGGCCCCGGCCCCACCGCTCCACGGACAGGTCATGGCTTCATCCGCAAATAAGTACTACGTCAGTCATTCGCCGTGTTGTCAAACTACAAGTTCAACTAAAGTTCAGCCTGTGCAAGCGCTCGTAGTATAGCGCTGTACCGGGTGTAACTGCGTGAATGCGCACCAGTGTTGCGGGTTTGCCTACTCTTTACACTCGTAAGGGGCCATGGCCCCTGCGGCCATATTGAGCATGCAATCCCGCAACACTGCTGCGTATTCACAGTTACACCCGGTATCATTAGGGGCTAAATGGTTGGTTTGGTTGGGGACATTGGTCGCTTGGAACGATCGTCGCATGGTTAGTCACTGTCCAATCACAACTCTCGCCCTACCCTACCCCAATGTCACTATAAACTGGGTTCCTGATAATTTGTCGATCACACATCATTACTATACCTGCTCTTCCTTTGTCTCCGTGGCCCGGCTGGTGGCTGCGCCGTGACTGCGACTGTCTGCTCAGCCTCGGCCGAGCAGGCGAGGCGTCCAGCTGCGCCCGTCATGGAACACGGAATCCGCTGACTGTTGCCGTTTAGGCTAGGACGATATAGAGGAGCAGCAGGGCAGCATCACTGCGCCGTGCCGTGTGAATGCTCCCAACAACCCTGACCCCCCTATCGGCCGCCGCCGGGCGGAGCGGCGCGCGGCTGTCTACCTCCGCGCGCATGTCCGATACGACCCACATACAGCTTTGCTCACGACTCCTTTCTCCGGTCGCCATTTGGGC